GTTTGTTGGAATAGATTTGTTTGTAGTATTTTGTAACAACCCTTTGTATTTTGGCGGGGTCTGTTGTTATTTCACCTCTTTCATTTCTGATTTGGTTTATTTGGGACCTCTCTCTTTGTTTCTTGGTTAGCCTGGCTAGAGTTTCATCAATCTTGTTTATCCTTTCAAAGAACTAGCTCTTGGTTTTGTTGATCTTTTGTATTGTTTCTTTGGTTTCTATGTCATTTATCTCTGCTCTGATTTTTATTTCCTTTCTTCTGCTTACACTGGGCTTTTCTTGTTGTTCTTTTTCTAACTCTTTGAGTTGTAGAGTTAGATAATTTGTTACCATTTTTTTCTTGTTTTTTGCAATAGGCTTGTAGAGATATGAACTTCCCTCTCAAAACTGCTTTTGCTATATCCCATAAATTTTGGATTGTTGTGTTTTCATTGTCATTTTTTGCCAGGATGTTTTTAATTTCTTCCTTGATTTCTCTGGTAACCCAGTCATTGTTTGATATCATGCTGTTGAGTCTCCATGTGTTTGATTTCTTTGGATTATTTTTATTGTAGTTGATTTCCAGTTTTATGCCACTATGATCTGAGAAGATGCTTGATATGATTTCTATCTTCTTGAATTTGAAGAGACTTTGCCTATGTCCCAACATGTGGTCTCTCTTTGAAAATGACCCATCTGCACTTGAGAAGAATGTATATTTTGTGGCTTTGGGGTGAAAGGTTCTGAAGATGTCGATTAATTCCATCTGATCTAGTGCGTCATTTAGGATTGATGTTTCTTTGCTGATTATTGTTTTGATGATTTGTCCAAAGGTGATAGTGGGATATTAAAATCTACTATTATTGTATTGCTATTAATCTCTCCCTTAATGTCCTCTAGCAGTTTTTTTTTGTTGTTGTTGTTGTTTTTTTTTATGTATTTGGATGTTCCTATATTGGGTGCATATATGTTTACCAGGGTTATTTCTTCTTGTTGGATTGTTCCCTTTAATATTATGAAGTGGCCTTCATTATCTCTTGCTGTGTCCTTCACTTTGAAATCTAATTTGTCAGAAGAAAGTATTGCTACACCAGCTTTTTTTTTTTTTTTTTTCATTTCCATTCGCCTGGAAAACCTTTTCCATCCCTTCACCCTCAGTCTGTGTGCATCTTTTTTTTCTGAAATGGGTTTCTTGTAGACAGCAGATATATGGGTCTTGTCTTCTTATCCAATCCGTTACCCTGTCTTTTGATTGGGGCATTTAATCCATCTACATTTGAAATTATTATTAATAGGTTCTTATTTGTCACCATTTTTTTCTGTACCCCTGTGTTCCTTCTTCACTTCCTATTTCTTTATTTTTACATCAGACCCTTTAGCATTTCTTGCATTGCTGGTTTGGTGGTGATAAATTCTCTTAGTTTGTTTTTGTCTGTGAAGCTCCTGATTTCACCTTCAATTTTGATTGATAGCCTTGCTGGGTACAGTATTCTTGGATTCAGACCCTTCCTTTGCATGACTTTGTATATTTCATCCCATTCCATTCTGGCCTGATAAGTTTCTGTGGATAAATCCATTGCTAGTCTGCTGGGGGTTCCTTTATATGTAACTTTCTGTCTCTCTCTAGCTGCTTTTAAGATAATTACTTTGTCGTTGGTGTTTGCCAGTTTAATTATAAAGTGCCTTGGCGTCGGTTTTTTGGGATTCATTTTGCTTGGGACTCTGCAAGCTTCTTGAATTTGTGTGGGTTTTTTCTTCTCTATCTCAGGAAAGTTTTGTGTCATTATTTCTTCAAACATTTTTTCTATGCCTTCATCAGTTTCCTTTCCTTCTGGAATCCCTATTATTCTAATATTGTTTTGTTTTGTATTGTCCCAACGTTCCCTTTAGGTTCTTCTCCTGCTTTTTTTTTTTTTTTTTTTTTTTTTTTCCAGAAGCTGCTCTAATTGGGTATTTTTTTCCATCTTGTCTTCTTGCTCACTAATGCGGTCCTCTGTTTCTTCTAGTCTACTTTTGATGCTTTCTATTGAGTTCTTTACAGTAGCAATGTCATTTTTCATTTCTTCTTGGTTCTTCTTCATTTTCTCTTGGTTCTTACTCATATTGTCAAATTTGTCTTCCATTCTTTTTAGCCATCTTATGTTCATTACTCTGAATTCTTGCTTTGGTATGTTGCTTGCCTCTAACTCGTTTATTTCCTGTTTTGGTGATGCCTGCTTTTCTTTCATATGCAGGCTGTTTGTTTGTCTCCCCATGATCTCTCTTTTCAGGATGTCTGGTTATGTAGTTCTCTCCTTTTCATTGTGCAGTGGAGCGCTCCTTTGACTCCAAGTGTTTGCGCCACCTGGGACCGGGGTTCTGAAGCTCACAGCTGCTCGGTGGTTGCTGCGGCTGTGGATGTTCAGGCCTCTGACAAGATCCACTTTTCCTTCCATTTTTCCTTCTTTTGAAAATAGTATCACATGAAATGTTGAAGGGTGTTCTTTAAGAAGAGGAAGAATATAAAAAAGGAAGAGGAGGGGGAGGAAAGAGGAAGGAAGGAGAGAAGGAGGAGAAGGAAGAGGAGAAAAATAAAAAATATGAACAATAAAATGGCAATAAATACATTTCAACAATTGGATCTAAAAATAAATAAGGAATCTAATGAACAAAATAAACTGATGAATAAAACAGAGGCATGAAAACAGGTTGATGAGTCTCAGAAGGAAGAGGCAAAGGGGGGTGAGAAGAGATTAACCAAAGATCTTATATGCATACATACATTACCTATGGACACAGACAATAGGGTGTTGAAGGCATGGGGCAGGGCAGGAGCAGGTGAAGGGAGACATTGGGAGGGAAAGGGAAACATCTGTAATACTCTCAACAATAAAGATTTTTTTTTAGGAAAAAAAACAGCTACTGCTATAGTGGAGCTCATCTAATGGTGTCTGGTTAGGAAAAATAGAATCTGTACTTGAAAATGGGCAGGTATGTCTCTTTGAAAGGTTCTTTGGGGTATAAGAGACCTACCTATCATTTTTAAATACTGATCTTTATAAATATAGCATAGGATAGAGCATGTATATACAATGTAAAGAATTACTATTCGTTCATAGTCCTAGGATTGTTGTTGAAATGTATGTCTCTCTTGCAGGATCCTAATCTCAGTTTCTCTGCTCTTCCTATCATTTTTCATCAATTCTAATTGCCATTGATGTTAAATACACACTTTTTATGGGTCATCTAAACATACAATGAGATTATTTAAACTTTCATAATACCTTTCCTCCTGATGAAAGAAGTTATGGCACAAATAATTGAACATTAACTTTGTTTGCCTTTTTGCTCATGAATTGTCCCCAGGGGGCATGTGTTGTGATTATTTTTTTTTCTCCTGGATTATGTAGTAAGTTATCTGTAAGTTCTCAGTTTCACATGGTAGCCAGTAGCTCACATTTTTAAAAGCTTTTGGAGGTTGAAAGTGGAGTCAGGAGACTTGGATCAGAGTTTATTTTTTCCTGGCTAAAGATAATCAAATTAAAAGGGCAAATCTTCAAAAAACATTTTGGATAAATAAATCAGGGTCAAAGGAGGGTGGGGAAGGCAAAAAAGATAATAGGGAATATATATAAAGAAAGGAAATAAAAACCTAATAGTGAGAATTATAAGAGTGTAAATTTAGAGTCTAAATACTGGTTATTGCTGATTTGTAGGGAATCTTTATTTTTGTATATTAATTTTTGAACTTCTTCACTGAATTGTATTTTTTCTAATCATTTTCAGTCAGTTCTCTTGGGTTTTCTTAGTATGAAATTACTTTGCTATTTTAAACTAGAAGTTCCCAATGTGCTCTTATCCTCTTAGACTAGAGTTCAGAAATTCTTAAGATGAACCAACAAAATATTTTATGTTGTAGTTCCTTCTTACCTTTTCAGACTCATACCACTCCCTTGTGCTACAGGCATGTTGATTGCCTTTCAGCTTCTTGACTATGCTATGTTTTTTCTTGATTCAGAGCTTTTGTATGTACAGGTGATTCTGCTTAGAAGATTCATTGCTCCCTTCTTGTAGCTAAACTCTAATCATCCCTTATGCTCCAGTTTGAAAGCCTTCCATAATTCCCAGACTAATGGGAGATCCTTCTCCTCTATACCCATCCTGGAACCTTTCCCTTTACTTTTGCTTCCATGGTACTTACCCACTTAAGATGAAGTTTATGAAGGAAGGGCTTGAGGAGTGAAGGTTCGCTATGGCAGTGGGATAAGTGACAAGATTACTACTCATCATCATTGTGGGACCACTTATATAGATGACACCCAGTATTGGTATAGGGGTTAGTTGGCAGAGTTGGTTTATGGCATTTCCATCAACAATGTTTCACATCCTAGGAGCAGAACTAGTAAAAAAAAAAAAAAAAAAAAAAAAAAAAAAAAAAAAAAAAAAGACGGCTGGATTGATTTTTGCCTGTATTTTTCTATCAGTGGTGATTTTGTCCCCCAAGGCACATGGCAATATCTAGAGACATTTTTGATTGTCACAACTGCAGAGATGGGGTATTCTATGAGCATTTAGTAGATAGATGCCAGAGATGTTGCTAAACATCCTACATAGGACAAACCCACACAATCAGCCCCAATGTCATTAGTGCCCAGGTTGAGAATTCCTGATTCAATCAATGAATTGAGATAGAAAGGAAATTGTTTTGATCAGAATACAAAACTCTTTCCCCTTGAGAAGATGATATATATCATGAGATCTCATGCTAGATTGCTGCTGCTCTACATGAGGCCTCACACAACTGAGTTTCAACTTTTAAACCACGAAGGGTTTAATGACATATTCTCAGAGTATCTATTACCTAATGTTATATGCAAGACCACAGAGACCATAGAGAGTATGGAAACATTAATGCATCAAGTAAAAGTGAATGCAGAATGTGTGTGGGGGGGCATTAGAATTACAATGCAAATTAATATATTAGTTTATTTACATATGAAGTCATATGAGTAACACAAATAATTCTCTCTTCTTTGCATTTTAGATATAGGCCGTATGTATACTTTTGGAGATGGTCGATATGGGAAATTAGGACTTGGAATGGAGAATTTTACCAATCAGTTTGTTCCTACTTTGTGCCCTAATTTTTTGAGATTTAAAGTTTATTTGGTAAGGGTATTGCATTTCCTTGTTTATATTTTCATATTTATTTGAATCTTTCAGTATTTTATAGAAAATACGTACTTTAATGAAAGAATATCATGGCTATATCTAATATATATATATTCGTTTCCTAAAAGCCAAATGTCAGACATCATGTCACTCTGCAACTTTGTCCCTTTCCTAATTTTCCTCCTTTAACACCTTCCGTTTTGCCTTAATCTTGACTCTTCTATTTTAATTTCATATGTTTCTTTAAGACCAGGATTGGCCATGCCTGACAGCTTTATGACTGCTATATTACCCAGCAGAGTACCTTACAATAGTCATCTATAAATATTTGTTGAATTAGATATTACTAAGACTTTCAAATTCTCCGTAAGAGAAAACTCTGATAATTAATGAAGTTTTGAAAGTATGTTTTGTTGACCAAATGTTGTTTGGATAAGAAGGTACTGTTTCAGAGTTATCCCCAGCAGTCATTTTGTATATGTTGTTTCTAATACTTTTGCCAATTAAGAACTACAGACTTGAAAATTCTGTTTCTTTGGTGATGATTATATCACTTGAAATTTGTTCTCCAAAAACTCAGTACCTCATATTATGGAACATTTCTGTTCTTTGATTTAACCCGTTTAATGAACCCCTGCTCTAAATAAGATACTGACTGAGTATAAGTAATAAAAAACATATAGTGATAAAGAAAATAATTAAATCCTCATTTACTGAGCATATAGTCTTATAGGGAAGATCATTTTTTAAAATGCTATGTACAATGTATAAATTTTAACTTTGAAAATAAAGGAAAGCTTTGGAATATGCTGTTCTTATGCCACCGTATACACTATAAAGTTGATAAAAAATCTTTATGTTACAAATACTACACATGGTTATTAAACACTTTATTGAAAATTATTTATTTCTAAAAATACTTTATTGATTTTATTTTTCATTGTTCCATCATTTTAAATGCTTGCATTTTGCTCTAAGGACTTTAAAAAATATTCATGCAAAGAAAAAGGCTTGGTCCTGGCTGGTGTTGCTAGGTGGTTAGTGCACTTGCCTGAGCACCTAAGGGCCTTGGGTACAATTCCCATTAAAGAGCATGTACATTCAATCCTCAGCCCTAGTCCAAGCATGTGCAGGAGGAATTTGACCAACCAATTTGTCTCTTTCACATCATTGGTTATCTATCATCATCTATCTCTATCTCCCCCCCTCCTCCTCCATGCCTTCTTCCCTGCCTTCCTTCCACTCTCTAAAAATCAATAGGAAAAAAATATCCTCAGGTGAGGATTAACAACAATAACAAAAGGCTCAGAGACATGATTAGCCCATGAGACTGATTTATTCTTGGATCAACTTTTTCCAAGTTGAATTTTTCTGAATAATTTTTACAAGTAATTAACCTGTTGGTCTCAGATTAAAATAACATTTTCTAACTTGTAAGAATTATAACATTACATTTATTTTTTTCTCTCTACTATCAAATATAGTTTTTTCTCTATACTATATCAAATTGAAAGTATGTAAAATAGTGTGTTAAATTTGTTCTAATTTTCAATTATAGTGTTTAAAGAATATGCATTTGATGGCTTGAACAACTCAGGGGTTAGGGGTACTGACCCTGCAAATTTGAAAATCCAGTCAAAGGCACATGTCTGGGTTGTGGGCTCAATCCTCAGTAGGGGGCGTGCAGGAGGCAGCCAATTCATGATTGTTTCTAATCATTGATGTTTCTATCTCTCTCTCCGTTTTCCTTCCTCTCTGAAGTAAAAATATATATATATATATATATATATATATATATATATATATATATATATATATATATATATATAATCTATGTATAACTTTTGACTTTCCAAAAACTTAACTACAATCATCCCTTTATATCTGCAGGAGATTGGTTCCAGAACTTACCACAGATAACCAAAATCCACAAAAGCTTGAGTCCTTTATATAAAACTAGAGGCCTGGTGCATGAATTCTAGTTTTATCTCCAGCAGTCATTTTGTATCTGTTGTTTCTAATACTTTTGCCAATTAAGAACTTATTCTAATTGCATGGGTGGTGTCCCTCAGCCTGGCCAGCAATCAAGGCCTATCAGGGGGCCAGTCAACCACGAGGAAGGACCCCAGAGGTTGGCCAGACAGCCCTCCACCTCTTCCCATTGGGGCCTGGGGGGAGAGACCATGGGAGGTTGGCCCACAGAGAGGAGGGGCTGTGGGAGATTGGCTGTGGGAGCACACTGACCACCAGGAGGCAGCTTTTGCATTGAGCATCTGCCCCCTGGTGGTCAGTTCTAGTCATAGTGGCTGGTCGTTCCAGTCGCTTGATCGTAATACTCACTTAGGCTTTTATATACCTATATAGATGGCTAGAACAATGCATACAGTCGGCCCTCTGCATCTGCGGATTCCCAACTGTGGATCATAAATACTGTTTTCAATTCACAGTTGATTGAATCCACAGATGGTGAAACCCAGGGATATGGAAAGCCAACTGTCTATTTATTTCAAAAAATAAACATATAAGTGGACCTGTGTTGTTCAAAGATCAATTGTATATTACAATGTATGTGTGTGTGTGTGTGTGTGTGTGTGTGTGTGTGAGAGAGAGAGAGAGAGAGAGAGAGAGTATGTGTATGTCCAGAGAGAGAGTCATTCAGCATAGAAAATCTACCACTAAGTAAATGTTTTGTAGCTAAAAACTGTTAAAAGCCTACTTGTGTTTGAAGCCAGTGTCAATTAAGTTATCTGTCAATTTATGCTGTAGGTTGCCTGTGGTGGATGTCACATGGTAGTGTTTGCTACTCCACGACCTGTTATAGAAAAAATTGCACTTAGGGAAATTTGTGATTCTCGCAGACCTGCAGCAGCTTCTCGGTCCATCAGCGACCTGACCTCAGGAAACATACTGCATAGAAGTTTATCAGCACGTGTGCGTCGAAGAGAGAGGGTACGATTGTGGCCTAATCTATATAATAGTATTGTCTATTACTACAAATAAAACTGGAAGAAAAAGATCCATTTTCTTTTTAAATCTATGAAGGGACTTGCCAGAAACATTTACTAAATAAAATTATTAGAATTGAGGGCTTATAAACATTTTGTAGTTGTTATTTATGTATTATGAGTAATTTTTTGTTTCTCAAGAAAGCAGAGAAAACAAAACAAACGTATCTTTCCCCATCATGTGAAAAAGAGGCTTGCAAATTGACAATTTAGAGCAACTTTGATACAGAGACAACAAAACAAAACATTTTTGAGCCTTTTGGGATTATATCAAATGAATGGTGTGGGATGTTGGCCAACTTTAAATTCTCTCAATTATTTTTAGCAACTACTGGGTATTTGATGTCTGTTTTAAATGTATAAAACATCTAAGTTTATTTAACCTTTTTTTTTAAGGAGAAATCCCCAGATTCTCTTCAAATGACTCAAATACTACCTCCAATTAAAGGGACTCCTGGGTCACCTGTTTGTTTCTCCCCAAGTTTAGTTCCTTTCTGCATATTTACAAATAATCTGTCAGGAAAAATGACTGAAAAGGAGGACTTCATGAAGCCCATGGAATCAGGTAATATTTGATACTCTCTCTGCTCTGAGAAAAAAACTGTAGCTTTTATTCCTGTAGTTTTCATATTTACCTTAAAATGTTTTCTTCAATTAAATTTTTTTCTTCCTAAAGACTGACATCACTCATTTGAACTCAAATCCTAGAATGCTCTTACAAATAGCAAGCAGTGTTTGGCATGCATAGTACTTTAGCTTACATTGTCTCCTTTAAACCCTGAATCAAGTCTTTGAAATAGATAGGAGTTATATTCTTTATTTTTATAGATGAAAAAAGAAAGGCTTGAAGAGATTGAGTGACTTGTCCAAAATCAGTTTATAAATGAAGTGAATGGGTTTGAATGCAGGTCTTCTGGACCTGTGTGAAGTTCTGCATTTAGGTAGTATAGCATAGTGGTTAAGAACCTGGTGTATGAAGTTAAATTGATTTGTGGCCTGATAAAAGCTCTGATATTTATTAACTATGTGACTGATTTATAAGTCTCAATTTCCCTATCTTTGAGTTTAATAATACCTATTTTAGAGAGTTATTGTGACAGTTAAGTAAGGCATATAAAATACTTAGCATTTAGCCTAGCACCTCTATAAACCCCTTAGTAAATATATTCATGGTTATTATTAATACCTCCACCTCACTACCTGTTAAATATAGCTTTTATGTTTTAAATTGTAATCCCAGCTCTTTAGCTGTTACATACATCTTCTAAATAATTTTGTCTATAGATATTTGTGTATCTTACAAGTATATATATGTCAGGGCATGTGCTTGAATGATAGAGGCAGGACAAGAAGCAAAGACCAGGAGATCAGAGTAATTAGTAGGATTCTAATGAAGAAGATAATCTGGGCATTTGGGATTAAGGACTATGGCAGAGATAATTTTTAGTATTTTAGGGATCAGGGAGCTAGACAAAAAGTTAAGGTAATAAAAGATCAGAAATTCAGGTAAGAATTGTGGGCCATGATAATGAGATACTATCTACAACTAGGACCTTGATAATGATCTGGTTTCCTGCATTTCACCCAGAATTTTTGGATGTTTTCTTTTGAAACTAAAAAAAATCAGTGGCACTTTTCAGTCCTGTACATAGGAAAAGTAGATTCTGACAGCAGTATGTACAAGGAAAAGAGAAGTTTATGGTTTTGAGAAATTGTTTTCCATTTCAAGATTTGAATGTGAAAGTATAGAGAATTTGTAGCTAGATCAAAAGAAAAAAATTCCTTATCTTTTTGTGACTGTTTTCTAAAGCTGTCTTAGTGAAAAGTATTTTGAATGTTGTGTCCAACATATTATGTGACTTTTTCTTAGTTTATTTGCAGACTTCAGTGTTTATCATAGAGGAAAGGTGATCTTGGAAGACCTTGTTGAGAAGATGACAATTAAGCTAAAACATAGAGGATAAGAAAGAAAGTCACAAAAAGAAAGAGGGTATATGTATTCCAGGCAAAGAAAATAGCATACATAAATATTTGGAGGCCGTTTTAAGAAAAGGAAAGACAACCATTGGGGCTAGAGATTGAGGTTAAAAAGCAGGACAAGATGATTTTGGAAACAGAGACAGTGACAAATTATTCGTGATTTTATAGGCCATGACAAGCCAATTTTACTTGACTGGGTTTTTTTTATTTGTTTTGAGGGTATCCAAAGGAAAAAAGTTTATTAAATGCCTCCCCTGTGTCCATGTTGTTAAATTTTCTTTATTGTTGAAAGTATTATAGATATCCTTCCCTTTTATCCCCAATGACCCGCATCCACCCCACTCCTACCCACCTCCCCAAGCCTTCACCACACTATTGTCTGTCCCTGGGCTATGCATATCTATATATATAAAAGGCTAAGTGACTGTCCGACCAGTAGCTATGACACACAATGACCAACAGGGGGTAGATGCTTCAACTGGTAGCTATGGGACACACTGACCACCAGGGAGCAGATGCTCAATGCAGGAGCTGCTGAGCTGTGGTGACTTGGCAATGGTGGTTCTCAGGTGACACACCCAGAACCAGAGAGAAGAGAGCCTGATTCTCAGGTGGGTCACCTGACAACCTCCATTCTTCAATCCAGGACCCCTTGGGGGGTGTCAGAGAGCTGGTTTTGGCTCGATCCCCACAGGCCAGGCCAAGGGCCCCCACTAATTCTGCAGATGCCCTTCAAGCCCTGGTGCCACCCTAGGTGTGGGTGGTTGGGGAAGGGCCACGGGAGGTTGGCTCCTGGGTGTGTCCAGCCCATCTCACCCAGTCCTGCTCCGCTGGCCACCTTCTAATTAATTTCCTTTCCATGTGCACCAGGGGCACTAGCAGTCCTATATAATAAAAGCCTAATATGTTAAATGTCTAACCATTCAACCAGTTGCTATGTTGTGCGCTGACCACCAGGGGGCAGACACTCTGACCAGTAGGTTAGCTTGCTGCTGTGATCTGGCCAATTGAGACTGAGTGAGACAGGATAGACATGCCCTAGAACCCTCCCACAGCTCCTCCCTGGCTGACCAAACTCTGGCAGTCTCTCCCTGGGCAGCCGGCTGCAATCGGTCCTGAACAGGACTGGACAAGACAGGCCAGATACACCCTAGAGCCCTCTCAAGGTCCCTCCCTGGCCCCCGTCATGTACCAATGGGGTTCTTCAGCCTAGCCTGCACCCTCTCGCAATCCAGAACCCCTCATGGAATGCCAGTTTCAGCCCAATCCCCACAAGCCAGGCTGAAGGACCCCACCAGTGCATGAATCCATGCACTGGGCCTCTAGTTTAAAAATGAACATTAACTTGCGCATGCACAATACATATAAAAACTCTCTGGTCCCAATCACACACATGTGTTTCAACCTGTCATTGTCAATCATGAATTTGGTTGACACTTTTATTATAAAGGGCGAATAGCCACATTAAAATATTTCTTTTAATTAATTTCCTTTCAATGTGCATGAATCCATGCACCAGGCCACTAGTATGCATATAAGTTCTTGGATTAATCTCTTCTTGTCCTTCCTCCCCCCACTTCCCTCTAAGATTCATCAGTCTGTTCCATGTTTCAATGCCTGTGAATCTAGTTAGTTCATAATTTATTTTGTTCACTAGATTCCACATATAAATGAGATCATTTGGCATTTCTCTTTCTCTTCCTGGCTTATTTCACTTAACATATTAATATCCATGACCTTCCATGGTGTCTCAAAGGGTAAGAGATCCTTCTTTTTTACAGCTGCATAGCATTCCTTGGTATAAATATACCACAGCTTTTTTATCCACTTATCTACTGATGGGCACTTGGGCTATTTCCAGATGTTAGCTATTATAAATTGTGCTGCTTTGACCATGGGGGTGTGTCTATTCTTTCTGATTGGTGTTTGGATTCTTAGGATATATTCCCAGAATTGGGATCACTGGGTCAAATGGCAGTTACATTTTTAATTTTTGAAGTTGTTTTCTATAGTGAGTGTACCAGTCTGTATCCCTACCAATAGTGTACTAGGGTTCCCTTTTCTCCACATCCTCACCTGCACTTGTTTGTTGATTTATTGATGGTAGCCATTTTTTAAGTTCAATTTAAAGTCATTAGAGGATTTTAAACAGTAGAGTCAGGTGCTCCAACCTAACTTAATTTTAAGATGATAGCTTGCCTCTGTGTGTGTTGTAGGGAGGCACAGACTAGAGCTAAGAATACATTCCTATCTTTTTGTAAGAGATAATGATGTGTGGACCAAGGTGTTTGCAGTGGAAATGAAGAGTATGGGCAGATTGGGAGTACATTTTTTATGTACACCAACTGAACTTGCTAAACTTGTTATGGATTACATATAGATGTGAAGGAAAGGGAAGAATCAAGGATGATTCCTAGACAACCCTGAACTTGGTTGACAAATTTGAGGGGGGAGGGAGATAAAATTGAGCTTGAGATACCTCTGAGACATCCCAGCAGAAATATCAAGCAGGCAGTTGAAAAAGCCTAAAATTCAGAAGAAAGGTCTGGACTAGAGATATAAATTTGGAAACCATCAACATAGAGATGGTATTTACAACCCACTAATGCTGGTAAAAATCACTTATTAGAGAGTAGAAGAGGAAGAGAAGAGAGCCCAGAATTTAGTCCTGAGGATATCTAACATTTAGAAGGATTGAGGAGGAACACCTTCCTCAACCTGCTCAACCCGTTGGGTAGGAGGAGGGAAATTAGGGTAGAGTAGGGTCGTGAATTCAAAGTATTGTGCAAGGGCCAAGAAAAAAGAGCTCAAGGGAATAGCCCATGAATTTAACATCATGAAGATTAGATGATCTCATGGATTTAACATCAAGAGATTAAACTAGAGGAAGATCAGAGCAAAATCCAAAGTGTTAAGAATTGAGGTGTGAATGGGAAATGAAGAAGTATAGATAAGGGATAGATAAGGGATGTGAATAAATTCTTTTGCATATTTTGGTCACGAGAGGAGCAGAGAAATCAACTGGAAGCTAGAGGGAAATGTGAAGTCATACTGACCACCAGGGGGCAGATGCTCAATGCAGGAGCAGAAACCATAGGCATGGAAACATGGAACAGACTGATGAATCTCAGAGGGAAGGGTGGGAAGATCTTATATGCACACTAGAGAGAGGCCCAGTGCATAGGGTCCCTTGGCCTGCCTGTGGGGATCAGGCCAAAACCAGATCTCCGACATCCCTGGGAGAGTCCTGGATTGCAAGAGGGTGCAGGCCAGGCTGAGGGACCGTACTGGTGTATGAATCTGTGCACTAGGCCTCTAGTATTGAGTATAAACTAACTGAAAAACTAAAAAGTATAGCATCCAAAAAAAGAATTAATATTTGTTATCTTGTGCATATATCCACACATGGAACCAACATAATTGATTAATCATTGGAAATGAATGAATTTATGAGGGGGATATCAGTGTGGACTAGCGTTTTTAGTGAAGACTTCATTAAGTGGTAAATGGGGGTATAATAACTAATAAAGATGTAAGGCAAATAGAGCTTATAACTTTTAATTATCTTTATGATATAACTAGTGGCCCAGTGCACAAATTTGTGCATGGGTGGGGTCCCTTGGCCTGGCTGGTGATTGAGGCTGATCAGGGCCTGTCTCGCCTAGACCTAATCAGGCCAATCAGGGGCCTGGAGGTTGCTGGCGAGGGGGAGGGACCTCAGGAGTTTGGCCGGCCATGGAAGGTTGGCTATGGGAGTGCACTGACCACCAGTAGGCAGCTCCTGTATTGAGCATCTGCCCCCTGGTTCTCAGTGCACATCATAGCTACTGGTCAACCAGTTGATCAGTTGACTGGTCATAAAGGTTGCTTAGATTTTTATATATATAGATAACCTTGCAGTTTTCCATGAAAGTTTCTAGGTGCTTATACTAGTTATCTGTTGCTACATAACAAATGACTCTGAAACTTACAGAGTTAAAACAGCACTCATTTATTATCCCACAAAGTTTCTGAAGATTAGGAATTTAGGAACAGTCTAGCTGAGTAGCTCTAGCTCAGGGCATTTCATGCATTGTAGACAGGCTGTCAGTCATCTGAAAACTGTATTGGGTCTGGCAAATCCTTTTCCATGCTCACTCATATGGTCATAGTTAGGGGGCTTCACTTCCTTAGCACATGGGCTTCTCCCTAGGGATGTTCACAACATGGCTTCTCCCAGAACAAGTGATCCAAGAAAGAAAAAGATGTGGGACCAAGACACAACATCACAATTATGTCAGCTTTATTTTACAGGCCATACAGATAAATCTTATAAAATATGTAGATACTAAACTGAGTTATGCATACCAGGAGGATGTGGCTCATTGGGTCCCTGTTTGCAGACTCACTTCCACAGTGCTTGATACCTAGGTAGTATTGATCCCAAAGGAATAGTGTTTTCTTGTTCGTATGGATGCAGTATTTATTATCTCATCAGTGTCAAAACCTTCAATTTTTCAAAAAGAAATTTTGAAACCATTTATCACTGGAATGAATACTGTTCAGTTCCCTTAATACGTGGTTAAAGGACCTTCCATAAAATTATATCTGCACTTTATATTACAGAATAATTTCTGTTTATTATCCAGCTGTCTTTCACTTTTCCTTTGAAGTCTTTTTTTTTCTCTTTTATCTTTTAATCATTCAGATTATTTTCAAGATAAAATGACCAAAGTGAAGGATATAGACAGCTCATCAGTGGATTCAAAAAGCCTTGGAGAAACTACTGATGTATTAAATATGGTAATGGTTTTCTTATTTATGTATCTAGATATAAGTTTGAATTTCTGTTCATCAGGTATTTGTATGTATGTATATATTTTCTATACTGTTCTGTTACATGCAAAGAATGCTTTTTGGTTTGGTTTCCTTTTGTTATTTTTAAATCAGGTTTATTGAGGTATAGGTTACATGCAATAAAATTCATTTCAATTCTCACATTATAAGTATGCAATTGTGAGTTTATTATATTACTATTTGAACTGTATTGTATAATGTATATTAGAATGTATAAATATATAATTATATATATAGTTTTCATTGTTTTTAGAACATTTATTTTTTTTTATTTCAGACACATATGATGAGCCTAAATTCCAATGAAAAGTCTTTAAAATTATCACCAATTCAAAAACAAAAGGTATAATACACAGTTATTTTTATTATGGTGGGTAAGAACAGTTTAAATTCTTTTTCTCTTTGAAAAGGTTTCTGAAAAGAACACAAGAAAGGTAAGCATTAACTTATTTTAGAATTGAAAAGAGAGGAATATAATGCAGATCACCTTAATTTGGGCTTGCTCTGTTGGTGTGTATTTTCTGTGGTGCAACAAGAATGACAGAATTCCAATGCTGAAGTTTGCTCTGTACAGTCACTTAAGTCAGAATAGCCATAATTTCTTGTCGTAAAGGCAAAAGATTATTGTTGTAGTTCTTAAGCATTGGAAGAGCCTACTGTTTATCAGCATGGCTCTCTGACTTAAGTTTACTTGAGTATTGCTTTGCTATTGCTTTAGATAAGTAACTGTGCTGACCTTACAGAATTATATTGACATCTTTTGTATGGTTTTAGTGAAAATATTTAATTGTTTTCCAATGTTTGGAATGGGCTTTAATTTATCAAGGAATTGGTAGCATAAAAACAAGATTAAACATTTGAAAATTAGTCAGAAACTGCATGATTGATAAAAACAGACCTTTAATGAATAACAAGTGAATAGCAAGAGGAAGGAATAGTCTGATTATCACAGCTATGGAGAGATAAAGGCCTCCCCTGAAATCTCTTGCTTTTCCTAGTTTTATGGACCAGTGGGGTTAAAGTATGAGGAGTTTGGGAATTAGAAGAATAAAAGAGAGAAATATAAATTGAAGGAAAAAGGCTATAGAAAACATTTCATTTATATTTTTAGTGCCATTTACACATTGTTAGGCTAAAACTTATTAAAAATAACTGAAATGCAAGAGCATCTTGCTAAACTATAAACATTTAGTGTTAATCTTCATTAGGTTTATCTTTATTTTACCGACAGAGACAAGGTGAATAACAGATTTTTTTTTTCCTATATGGGAGAACTAACACAGTGGTGGAAGCTCAGTGAATGTTGACTGATTCTGACCTCCAAGCTTTTCTGTGTTTTTCCTTCCTCTTACCTTGGACTTTGGGCTCTGCCTCTTTTGTGTTGTTTTTTTACTCTGGGGAATTTAGGAATCATTTCTGGCACATGGGCCTCTGTCTCTCTTAGGGCTCATGAAAGAATGATGACTTTCTAAAGAATAGCACCTAGAACAGATAAAGATTTCCTTTTTAATTGATATTATATTTTATACTTCACATACTCTTTTTTTTCTTTATTGATTAAGGTTCATATACTTTTTTTAATTAGAAGCCCTACCAGGCTTACTTTGGTAAATAAAAAGAAATTTATTATAGTATTTCTATATATTAATTTTTAACTTGTGCTTTTTAAATAATTTCTTTAGCAAAAGAAAAGTATGACCTCTTTCTGGATCTAGCAATCATCACAATTTATAAAACTTGATTTAGTGAGGTTTTACTACCAGAGATTCAAATTAATGAAATATTCAACCTATTAGCTTACAAAGTTAGGTTAACAGTTTTAATTTTGCCTTATTTCATCCAGCAGAAAATTAATTTCAATTCTTTTTTTAAAACACCTTTTTTCTTATTGGTTTCAAAGAGGGAGAGAAGGAAAGAGAGAGAAACATCAATGATAAGAGAGAATCATTGATTGACGGCCTCCTGCATGCCATAAACTAAGAATGGAGCCTGTAGCCTGGGCATGTGCCAGACCAGGAATTGAACCATGACCTCATGGTTCACAGGTCAATGCTCAACTACTGAGCCATGTTAGCCAGGCTTCAATTCTTAATGTATCATTCAAATATCAATGTTTAATTTCATAGTTTTAATTAAAATCTTATATTTTAACCTTAAGTATTTTTCTTGCTGTAGTTTTTAGGTATGCAAATTATTATAATTAAAGAAAACAATAAGAGGGTCAAAATTTTGAAAACAAGATTTTGTTTTGAAAAGAAAAATATATTTATTATTATTTAGTATATATTTAAAGATTTCAATTTTCAGTTTTTATCCCAGCTATTTTTTTCCATTTTCTTTTTTCCCCAATTTTTAAAAATTTCACATTTTCATTTATTTTCTCTAATTTTGTGATATTTATGGAATTGAAAGACCAATCATAATTTGATAATTAAAACAATAAGGTAGAAAAAAACTAAATTGAACTGCACTGCATGCAAGAGAAGTATACATTTTATACAATATTTTGCAAAATCAGTCTGAAAATGTATTATATTTAATTTATTAAGATTTAGAAAAGGGTCAGAGAATAAATATTGATGGTACTGCAAGTAATGGCAAAATTAAAGCAAGCAGTAAGAATTTGAAAGTTAAATATAGAAAAAAATGTTTCTAAATTAAAATTAGATGTACCATAGACTTAGAGAGCAGCATAAGTTATCCCCAAAGAAAATAAAATCTGAGCAAAATGTTTGGTAAAAATGGACATTTTTGTTCTCTTAGTGAAATGGATAATGCAAAATTTTGGCAGTTTTTGTAGTAAATAAGTTACCTTTGTTAATTAATAGTAGTATGACAATTACTTCAAAAAATTTACAGAAACAAGAATCAGTTGAGAAATTGAAGCAGCAAACAGCTCATACTGAAAGTGATGATAGTGATGAATATGAAAGTGAAGAGATGTCTCAAAAAATGAAAGAAGGAAAAGCATATAAACAGATTTTGGCTAAAGGAACATTCATGGTACCAACAACTGAGAAGCTGGAAGCATGTTCAGATAAGAATGTAGGTCATGACTCAGGACAACCTGAGTCTCAGGCTGATACCAATGAGAAGGGCTTGCAAGAAGAGACACTTATATTTAAAAATAAACATAACATTTACCCACTTGATGATAAGGAAATAGAAAATAAAAGTGATGGAGAAGGCAGTCAGAAAGATTCAGAAGAAGAAGAAATGGTCTCTGAGAAGGAAACTAAGCTGGCAGAAATGGCAGGTCTGAAGGATATAAGAAAAAGTGAAGAGAATATAAACGATATTAACAGATTCTTTGATGAATTACCAAATGAAGTCATGAATATTGATGAGGCTATTGAAGAAAATAATTTTGTTAAAGAAAGGAAAAAGCAAGATGGGATCTTTGACCATGAAAGAGAATCTATAGAGGAGCCATGTAGTTACTTGGAAGGTGAATGTGAAAGTCAGCACAGTGCAACTTATGACTTTGAGTTTCCTGAGTCAGTAGAATGCAGTAGTGGAGAAAAAGATGATGATGAAATGGAAACTGACCAAAACTTATGGTATAGCAGAAAATGTATTGAACAAGAGGAAGATACTGAACTCAAAGTACCCGAATTCATGGCAAAATATGATTTTAAGTCTGACCACTTGCCAGAAATTCCAGAGGAAGAGGAAGGAGCAGAGGATTTAGAAGGAAGTGGAATACAGGAGCAAGAGGTAGAGGGAAATGTGGAGATGCCTGGAGGAAAGGTGGAGGAGGAGGAGGAGGGAGCAGAAATCCTATCAGATGACCTTACAGACAGCGCAGAGGTGAGTGAAGGCAATGGAAAGTCAGGGGGAAAAGCAAATGTGTGTAAAGGTGGATGTGAGGGAATCTATAAGGAGAGTAATTCAAAAGTGGAACAGGGGCAAAGTGAAGAGGAAGAAGAGGGAAAAAACAAAGGAAAAGGAGAAATGGAAAGCCAGGGTAAGGGAAAAAACAATTTAGAAGAGAAGAAAAAACAAGAGCAAAAAGAGAGGAAACAAGGCCATCAGAAGGAAACAAACAAAGGGATGGAGATTGGGGAATGGGAGGAACAAGGAGAGGGGGAAGGAGAGGAGGATAAGGAAGGGGGACAAGTGAGACAAGGGGAAGAAGACAGAGAAGAAGGAGAAGGGAAAGAAGAAGAGGAGGAAGAGGGGAAAGAGGAGGGTGTAGAGATGAAAGGAGAAGGGGGAAAGGAGGAGGGAGGGGGGGAAGGAAAAGGAGAGAGGGAAGGGGCAAAAGGAAAGGGGAAAAGAGAAAGGGAGGAAGGAGATGGAGAAGGGGAGAAAGGAGAGAGGGAAGAGAAAGGGGAAGGAGATGGAGGAGGGGAGAAAGGAGAGAGGGAAGGGGAAGAAAGAGGGGAAGGGGAGGAAAGAGAGGAGGGAAGGGAGGATAAAGAGGAGAAAGGAGAGGAAGGAGAGGGGAAAGGAGTGGAAGGAGAGTGGGAAGGGAAGGAAGGAGAGGGGAGAGGGGAGGATGGAGAAGGTGAAGAGGAGGAAGGAGAGGGGGAAGGGGAGGAAGGAGAAGGGGGAGGAGAGGATGGAGGAGGGGAAAGAGAGGAAGGAGAGTGGGAAGGGGAGGATGGAGAAGAGGGAGAAGGTGAAGAGGAGGAAGAAGAGAGGGGAGGGGAGGAAGGAGAAGGGGAAGGAGAGTGTGAAGGAGAGGAAGGAGAGGGGGGAGGAGAGAAAGGAGAAGGTGAAAAGGAGGGAGTGGAGGAAGGGGAAGGGGAAGGAGATGGGGAAGGAGAGGAAGGAGAGTGGGAAGGGGAGGAAGGAGAGGAGGAAGGGAAAGAAGGAGAGGGGGGAGGGGAGGAAGGAGAGGGGCAAGGAGAGGAAGGACAGTGGAAAGGGGAGGAAGGAGAAGGGGAAGGGGAAGAAGGAGAGTGGGAAGGGGAGGATGGAGAGGAGGAAGAAGAAGGTGAAGAGGAGAAAGAAGAGGGGGGAGAGGAGGAAGAGGAAGGAGAGGAAGGAGAGGGGGGAGAGGAGGAAGGGGAAGGAGAGGGGGGAGAGGAGGAAGGGGAAGGAGAGGAAGGAGAGGGGGGAGGAGAGAAAGGAGAAGGTGAAAAGGAGGGAGGGGAGGAAGGGGAAGGAGATGGGAAAGGAGAGGAAGGAGAGTGGGAAGGGGAGGAAGGAGAGGGGGAAGGAGAGGAAGGACAGTGGAAAGGGGAGGAAGGAGAAGGGGAAGGGGAAGAAGGAGAGTGGGAAGGGGAGGATGGAGAGGAGGAAGGAGAAGATGAAGAGGAGGAGGAAGAGGGGGGAGAGGAGGAAGGGGAAGGAGAAGAAGGAGAGGGGGGAGGAGAAGATGGAGAGGGGGAAGGAGAGAAAGGAGAAGGTGAAGAGGAGGGAGGGGAGGAAAGGGAAGAACAAGGTGATGGGGAAGGAGAGGTAGGAGAGGGGGAAGGGAAAGAAGGAGAGAGGGAAGGGGAGGAAGGAGAGAGGGAAGGAGGAGAAGAAGAGTGGAAAGAGGAAGAAGGAGAGGGGGAAAGGGAAGAAGGAGAGGGGGAAGGGGAAGAAGGAGAGGGGGAAGAAGGGAAGGAGGAAGGCCAGGAAAGGGAAAGGAAAGAGGGGAAAGTGGAAAAAAGGAAAGTGGAAGAAAACTGGAGGAGAAAAGAGAAGGAGGGAAAATACCAGGAGACAGGCAATGAAGGAAGTGAAAGGCTGGGAAAACAGGGTGAAGGAAAAGAGTCCAGAAAAGTGAGCAAACTCAAAGGATCTGTGAAATATGAGAGACATAAAACATATCAAAAAAAGTTTATTACTAACACAAAGGGAAAGGGGAAAGAACATGAAGTACAGAGGTTCAGAATGCCAGTGCATTCAAAGCAAGTTTTAGAAAATGGTTCTAAAATTTTTCTGAAACCACCAGGTTCCAAAAAATTCTGGAATAATGTATTGCCACATTATTTGGAACTGAAATAACAAACTAAATTTGACCTGATTATGCCTAGACAAAATATTTGATTGCTTTACACGTAATAGTTACTCAATACATTTTATTAAATTGATTTTATGTCATGGTTACATTACATGTGGTACAGTAACAACTGATTAAGACAACACAAGGCACTGGTAAATTTTGCCTTCTCTTAAAATATTATATTGGTAAATGTTTTCCCCAAATTATTACTCTATAACCAGAAAACATCAAAAGGTCAAAGCTGATATAATTAACATTACATATTCCTCGTTAAAGGTAGTTTTAGAAAATAGGAGTACACTATAAAAATATTTTGCTTGTATATACAAAAATAGCAGATCATTAGGGCTGTAAATTCATCTGATTTCTTAAATATTTAGCACACTTATTTTCAGTCTGATTATAATTTACCTACCACATAGAATAATTTTATAAAAATGGATGGTATTCAAAAGCCAACATGAAGAATTCACATTTTAAAGAAATACTAGTAGTGTTGTCTTTTCTACCTTTTATGTGTCCTTTTTACAACAATCTACGAAGTGACAGTTGGATTCAGAGCTCAGATCTTAATAATGTAGTCTCTTTTAGTTACTGTCTAGACAAGTGGCAGTTTATATCATGAAATGGAGATTAACTTAGATCTATGATTAGGAAGTATGCAAAACTTTAAGTATTTCTTGGCCAGGCAAAGCTATTCATTAGGCCACAGTCTTCTCATCTGTAAAATAGAGTGGGTTAGATAATTTTATAACCATACTTCTAACCCTTAAATTATTTTATTCTTAGGTTGATTTACTCTATCATATTCATTGTTTGCATAAGACGGTTTTAAGAAAGAATTGCATTTTAAAATTTATCTAGTTTTCTATAAATTCTTGTTCTTATATCTTAAAAAGTTATGACAGGTTTAATGTCTCTTATCTTCTGTAATTCTGTATTTCTAAACTATAATTTCCACGCTTTAACTGTACTGTGAGAAACTTCATTCTCAGTAAGTGTTTTTATGTACTTTCAATGTATTCTTCATTGACTATTCTATAATTCTGTTTGTTGCTTGTCAAATGTTTTAAGTAAAATAAAAATTAAATGTAAAAAGTCACTAATTATTTGTGAAAAAAGAAACTAATCTTAGATATTGAATTTTAGAGAGGCTAGATTTCTACTAGTGTAATTTCAATCTTCCCTTAACATTTTCAATATAATGCAGCTTTCATAGCTCCCTTTTCAACTGATTTCCTTTTCCAATCCCTTCTATATCTTGGACATGAGAATTTCTTTTACATTCTTTTATCAAGAAGGATTTTGGAGTAGACTTCCTGTGAATTTTGTGTAGTTGATTCTTTGCACATTTGATTCTCCTTGAATGAGAAAGATTGTGAAAAGAAAGACCAGAATATGAAGTGAAGAAATTATAAGCTGTGTCTACCCTAGTATTTGAACTGATCAAGATAACAATTTTTTAATTATCACTTCTTACCCATTTCTTCACATTTCCCAGTCCAAAATCTTTTTGTGCTTCTTTAGAATCATTGATTTGTGTGGCATAGTATTCTTGTCAAAATACTGGCCAAGTTATTTATTTTCAGACCTGAATTAATACTTGGTTAAAGAAATTGGAATAACTAGTTCCTTCATTATGCTCTCCATCTGCTGGCCAGTCAAGCTTTTAACTGTAGTTTATCAGTGATAATTTCTGAGGCAAGTGTGAGTAGTGTGTATAAAATCCATTGAGTTACAGTTTAAAATAATGACTGTAAAAGAAAACTAATATAAGGTAAGCTATAAAGGCATATGACCAAAGGATCTACTGCTGCTGAACATCAGCACTTGAGGTGAGTGCAATTGAAATGTCTGTTACTATTTCGCTTAGAGATAAACTTGCTGTGCACATATAAAAAAGAAAATGCTACCATGGAGGAAGGTGCTATAATCCGTTCATTCTTTCCATTATGAAAATTAAATGTGATGTTATATGCCCAATACCTGACACATAACTTAGTATTTGTTACATATTATTCATTCAACCAATATTTATATACCAAGCACCAAAAATAGAACAGTAGCTCCCCCAAATCAGGTGCATCTCAAGAAGTGAGAGCTACTTACGTAAACCTGTGGAATGTTAGGTAAGTATAGATTTCTTGAAAGAATACCAAATAAAAGGTGTTCCTTGACTCTGCCTTAACTGCTGTTTTAACAATGTCCTTTTGTATACCTTTGCTCCCATGTTCTTAGCCAGGACTGCCTGAAGATAAAAATGGGATCTTAAAAACCCATCTATGGCTTTCCCACATTAAATACCTTAATAAGAAGAAAATGCTTTTGTACCTTGGTTATAAAGAGAGTAAGGTATGGCTCCCGATCTCAAGGAACTCTTGGTTGTATCTACAAGCTGACCAGAAAATTTACAAGTACAATAGAGTGCTTTAGGAGTGGCACTTCAGCTGCCATAGAGAAAGTGTAGGAAAGGGCTTCCAAGGAGCAGTGATGAAATGGAAACTGAGTCATAAAAAGTGACTATGGGGCGATGGCCCAAGGGGACAATTTTCATGAAAAGTAAAGCCTAACCAGGAAAAAGGGGAGTGTGGCGAACAGGGCTTTCCAGGCTGATGGGAGCCATGAAAGTGTTTTGTTATCAGTGCCGCCTAGAGTATCCTTTGGTTGTAGATAGAGAGGTGAAGGGCCTTATGTGTTTGTAAATGTTAAACAAGAGCAAGATGTGAATCCTTGGGCTTTTGTAACATCATTCTGCAGCAATACAGAGGGTAGATTGAAAGGGAGGAGGACCAGAGGTGGAGGTGTCAGGAGGCTGTTAACAGTAGACTAGGTAGGAACTGAAGTGCAGCTGGACTAGGGCAGTGGGGAT